CAAAATATTGGAAAAAAGTTCGACTAAAGCCTCGGAGCAATGTAACGTTTTCCAGTATTTTGATCCTGGCGCTGCTATTTCTTGATGAAAACAGAAAAGTTCTTTTTACGAAAATGATCAGCGGAAAAAGCTATACAAAGAGGTATTTCTCATGTGTTTTTCGAACACCTTTATGGTTTTTTGTTTGACTACCCACGGAAGTAATTGGAAAAAAGGTCAAATTTTGTATTAAAGTAGATGGTGCTAAATTCAAGTGTATCAATAAGCTGTTAATGTGTGAATAAAAACTTGGAACTTGGAACATCATGAGGAAAAAAATATAGCTCACTTGATCAGATTACGGTAGAGATATTCAGTTTTCTTTTTAGTAGATGACTTTCCGGACATCCGGTACATGGCTCTCCATGAAAATTGCAGTAAAACGACTAAAACTCTGCGCGAATAGGCCATCAGCCCGAATGCTACGAAACTCCGCAAAACATTATAAAACATCTTCTTGAAAATTCCAGAAAAACCCTAGGAAATCAGGTTTCCGCAATATCTTGCTGATGTATGACGAGATAACAAGGTGGTTCTCATTTCTTTTTCATCTTTCTTCCTCTCTATTCACAGACACTCACCCGGCTGGGCCTTGGCTGCAAGCAAATCGGAGATGCTGGAGCCCAACATCTCGCTGGTGCACTACGAGATAACAAGGTGATTCTCATTTCTTCTTCATCTCTCTCATATCTATCTTCCTCTCAATTGAAGAACCGGCGTTATTCTTGAAACAGAGACTGGACGAGGAAATGATCTAATATAGGTCATTTTTCTAATGAATAAATGATGCAAAAATCAAAATAAAACAAAAGATCGAGTGTACTGACAAAAGAGAAAGAAAAGTTACGTCAGTCACTTGCAGCTATTTTTCTCGAAATATAGACAGTCTAATGACTGATATATCAGAAAAAGTAGTACCTCTGCACGTATATATCTGTATATAAATAACTTCGTACAATTCTCAGAAGTTACTTTTCGCGTTCAGGTTAGAACAGAAAAGTGACATAATCCAATCCGTCCTTGTCTCGCAAAAGAACGGGAAGAAGTGGTATTTCTTTTCTACTGGATACAGTGTATACAAGCGACTGCAGAAATTAGATGGATATATCCAGGAGTTTTACATGGGCGTAATACACCAGGATATAACCACTATGTGTAATATTGCAACGAATAAAGCAAGTGATACAAGTATAGCATTCACCCTCACTAACAGCATATCGTATTAGAAAGTGACTAGCAAAAGATACGATTAATGCAATGAGGGGAAGAAATAGACATGAACAAATATGTTAAAAGGGCAGATAAGTAAGCAAATATAGAGAGAGGCCTATGTCCTAAAACATCAAAAATAGAATAAAAACTACTGCATTCGCCATTATATATTTTTATAATTTAGAAGGATGAAGAACTCTCCTCATGTAATTTCGAGAATCAAAGTCCTATACAAACGTTTGCAGAAATTGTATGGACGAATGCAAAAACGTTATGTAGTACTACATGGACGAGTCCGAAAACGACCCTGTCTTGCCAGGAGATATCTACCGCGCATACTATTGCAACGAATAAAAGGGATGATAGAAGTAATCAGATCTCACAATATATTTAGTGTATCATGAACGATATGCATAGAAAACAAAAAAACAAGACACTTTACTTACAGAAAATATAACAATTTTAATTAATATATACATAACTGATATATTGATCAACAATAATAATAATAAAAACAAAAAATAATAATAATAAATGTTTTTCTTTTTGTTTTATTCTTTTTCTCGGGCGTGGTGGAGTATGACACTGTATCATCACTGAAAATACATGCATATAAAATTAGTCAAAACATTTTATATTTTCCAAGAAGTAGCTTTATTACCTTCAATACATTACCTCGTACAAAAATACAACCTCGACAGGTTCTTCTTTGATGTGGACACCGGTGACGGCCAGGATATTCCGCCACATTTATCGTGTGAATGTTGTCAAAAATCATGTGACATAGATGATCTTCTATCGAAGTAATAATAGCAGCATTCTTCATTGTTCCAGTAAACGCCGCTTATTGAATAATTTGATATAGAAAGTTGATGAACTTGAGCATTTATTGATAATTTTTCGTCAAGATATCGCTATGTTTTATTACAAAAGTTGTTGCTAGTTTACATAACTAATGTTGTTTTCTGTGTTATGCATCTTATACACAAAAATTTTTCACAAATGAACGTGAACGTCTACACCCCCACCTAGGACAGGCATCCGAATACGGTATATATTTGAAAGTTTGTTAAATTAACGACGCGGCCTAATTTCTTCGCTGAGCGTTGTTTTAGAGAAACAGATTTGAGAAGATGTTGAACATTTTCTCACCGTTAAATGTTACAAAGCAAATAATAACTAGCAGGAATAATGCAAGATCATCACATACAACGGGTTCTATTATCGATAATCAAAAAGTGGCAGAATTTCATTCTATAATTGCATCATATTACTTAGCAGGCGATAGGTCTGCAGTCTGAGAACATGAAGAACCGTTTCCGCACGGGAGAGTTCCAAGGGGGAAATAGCGGACTCCTAGAGTCCAGGAGTCCCTTGGGGTCCTTAAGGAAATTTAAGAAATTTAACCGAACTGAACTGTCCCACAAATCTCTGTTCCATAAAGAGAACAAAAACGTTCTGCATGTGGGAAAAGAAGTCACAGAACAGAACACAATCGTTCCGGTAGAGCACTTTTCCCGATAAAAGAACATGATTGTTCTGTTTCGGGAACAGGATTGTGTCTAACTTCTAGACTTCAGAAGTCCATTGGAGTCCATGGAATCTACAAGTCCGCTATTTCTCCCTTGACGAGTTCACATGGTGATGTGCATCGTTCTTTTCAAAATCTTCAACTAAAAGTGTGTATTCACGTTGAATATAAATCATAGGATGCATTGTAAAATACAAACAAGAAAAAGCGTATTTCATCTTCACTATCGTGAGGGAATAAAGTATCTCATAGGATCTCCTGGTATTGGTCAAAACTGACACATAATACTCGCGAAGGCGCACTAAGATTTGACTTTATACAATCTCTCCAGTGGGAAAGAAAACGCCACTTCTTCCTGTCGGTTTCGAGACACGACGGAAGCATTTTGATTGAGCATACCACAACAATAGCACGACAATCAGCCTTATATTACAAATTATTATAAAGAGATACCCCGAAGAGCTTTTGTTTTAATAAAAGCGAAACCGGTTGGTAATGAATGTTTAGAATCAAACAAACACCGATTCTCCCTTGCGTGTCATTAGTGCTTTATTTCCTTCCTGTAGCACATAAGCTTCGTACTCCGCTACGTCCAATTGTGTCAGGGATCAAATCCCCGCCCATGGCTATTTCAAAGTTTTTAGATAAATACCTTCGACCTCTGTTCGATCAGATGGCGGAGCATTAATCGATCAAAGGAGGCTTTTACCTTTTAAATAAGCTCCAAAAATGGGCCAGATGAAGACTTACGACCACTACACAGTTTCTCTCGGTAGATGTGTCAGATCCCTATACGATGATCCCGCAGGATGGAGCCGTAGATGCCCTTCGAAATTTGTTTTCGCATTTAAAACTAACAAATGTCAGTGGTCTTTCAATTGAAACAATCCTTGAATTGACTCGATTTGTTTTGGAGAATAATTATTTTGTACTAGACGGTTTATACTACCGACATATCCGTGGTGGAGCAATGGGTTCACCTTTAACCCTCACAATCGCCAATGTGTACAAGTTCTTCTATGAGCGTCCCATTGCAAAAATGATTAAAAGGCAAGGAGGCTTGTACTATCGGTATATCGATGATATTTTTATGACGCGTACAGCCACTTCAGAGAAAATCAAAGACTGGGTTTGCCATTGGAACCGTCTAGACTCGAATATTCAGGTGACTGCACAAATCAGTCAGACTATCGATTTTCTCGATCTTCATATCGAAAATAAAATTGGAGTCCTTGAGACGAGTGTCTTTCACAAGCTCTCTAATGAGCCCTACTACTTACCTTTTTCAAATATTCACGCGCTACACATCAAAAGGAATATTCCCTTTGGAGGCTTAATACGTGCGATTAGGTATTCATCGACCTTTGAATTGTTGTGGAAAGAAGAGGCATATATAAAGATGGCCCTCCTTTTGAATGGATACGAAATAGGATTCATTCAGACGCAATTCAAAAGAGTTTTCGAAAAATATTCAATACAGACCTCGAATTCAACTAATTTTTCTCAGATTCGAGAGGTTCTGTTTCAGGATTTTTTCTGTACCAGAGATCAAAAAATTGCTAAAATTGATTATGAGACCTCGATGCTATTTCATTTCACGTTCTGTGAGGGAATGGATAATTTTGCGTCTCATTTCCATCGTTTATGGAAACAGCATTTTGCGGAGGCACCCCTAGGATCTATTTCTCCTATTGTAGGTGTCCGCACTGCTCCCAATTTGCAACAAAGACTAGTTAAGAAGAAGCCGGCATCATACCTCATCCGATAGAGTAAGATGCCCTCACGTTCTTTTTTTTTAAAAAACTAGTCCTTTTTTCATTTTGGTTGATTTCATACCTGGTTACCCACGCGTCTTACGGCCGATGGCTGCGGTGGAGCGGGAGATGACCCCTTCTACCAAAGAAGAAAACTGAGAATTCTACCCACACGAATATAAGTTCGCCAGAAATTCTGAGCGTTTCGCCGTAAATTGGCAGGACCGGTTCGCTCACATTCAGCGTGTGAGTCCTTCCCGACGGTGAGCTCACTGTGTGAGTCCATCCCAACCTTGAGTGTAACGAATTAGTTGCTCAATTCTGACCCGAGTGTCGATGACGAAGGTGACAATGATTGACGGTATGCTCTCCTATGGAGAAGCACTGGCCACTCTCGCGTCACAAACGATGGTACTTTTCGGCTGTGCAAAGCTGATAGTAAGGCCGAAGATCGGGGTATTTGGATGCCCGTCTCTGAGTCTTTCCGTTCGGATGGGTTTGTTGAACGAACCCAGGTGACACATCCAGGAGTTGCAGGTCTGAGTCGAAATTCATCGACCGGCCCGATTGCTAGTGGTCGAACCTTCGTCAATTCGGCGTACAAGCAGAATTTGACAATTCGACCCTCAATCGGTCATCCGTCGTCACGTTCAGTGCCACTAAAGCACTTACATCGGCGGCAAATACCCGATCATGCACCAGAACGTCCGACAAAGAGTACTCTACGCCGCTGGAGACGTCAGCGGCTAGAGGTGCATATTACCAGTGGAAGTGGCAGTCGTAAAAAACCGCCCGCCTTGCAATCGTCAGTTCGGTTAGCGACCCCTCAACATGCTGTCGAGGAGCCAGTCGTTATCGAACCACGCTCGTGTTTTTCGCCACGAGGCGAAATATCGGAAGGTTTCCCTGGAGAGTCCCCCGGTGCAAGGACCCCAGACCGTGTCAGTGTCGAATAGTTTTCGGCCGATTCCACGGAAGAAGGGGTGCTTTTGGACCGATCGCCGGACAATGGAGTCAGCGATCTCGACGAATTGGCGGCACACCTGGAACTCGGCCGCGGTGAAGACTAACATGTCTTCTCTTTTTGTGTCCTGTTGTTTTTGTGTTGTGTGTGTTTTCGTTTTTTTGTGTTTTGTCGTTTTTTGGTTGTTTTTTTATTTGAACCCTTTTTTTACGTATATATTTATATTTTTTATTATTTTAAGTGTTTTCGTGTTCTAGATACCCTGAAGAGCTTTTGTTTTAATAAAAGCGAAACCGGTTGGTAATCAATCTTTAGAATCAAACAAACACTCAATTCTCCCTTGTGTGTCATTAGTGCTTTTATAGTCAGTCTCTTTCTAGAAGATTAGGTGTGTTGTAGATACGACCTCCTCCTCTTTTATTTTTTTTAAAGCTTATATTACAAATTATTTTACAAATTATTTTTGCTTGCAATATACTGATTCATCGTTGTCTTTCTCCTTATGATTTTTTTTCTTTCGCGTTCGTAAGCAAACAAAAATCTCAAAGTGTATGAAAGCATATAATTAAGGTGTGACAAAACAACAGTAATAATCACATTTTCTGTATACTAACATAAAGAACACACACACACTATTTCCAATTTTGTTTTTGGCTTTTCAAAAATGTAAAAGTGAGCTATTTATAAAGGCGTGTGCTTCTCAGGATCACGATTTAATCATTGATTCATAAAATTTTTAGATAGATAGTCCTTCTCTCCGTATCTCTCTCATTCTATACGTGGGTAAACTGGCAGCTCTATATTCAGCAGAGAATAACAAGAGAATGATCTGGTTCTGGCAGTCAAATCCGAATCCTTGGATCCCTAACGCAACTAAAGAGTGGAAACGTTACTCTGACTTTGAAAACGAATTCATCGAACAATCATTTCAACGAAAAGAAAAAGAAGTTCGACTCAACGATTACGTCATTGATTTTGAATACTATCTCCAATTCAAGAAAGAAGATAGAAACAGACAGCGGCCAGTGAAACGGGAAGAAATTGACATAAGTCAGCATCTAAGAGAAGAGAGATTTTCCTACCCGGAAAGGGCAGTCAAATCATTTGACAGCAGTGGCTTGTGGAGCTGTCCTTTTCGGGATCGGTGGACTGAAAAAAATGAAAAAATAAAATTTAACTATCCAAATATAGCTGAGCTTGCTGCACAAGGTAAGAATATTTTTGGATGTTGTTACATCTCGTAATCCGTGTCGGCTCTCTTCTGTACAGGTATTCTAAAAGAAGGCAAATTATTGAACCAAGAGTTTGATGCTCAACGAATAAAAAGTATTCATAAATAACACCGTTAAAATTGACGTTTTATAAGAGCTATTCTAATTCTCGCCTGATTCTGTACAATGCCGTTCAAACTCTTTTGGATGTCTTGTCTGAATTGTACCCGGTCGATCAACTGAAAAGTTGTGGTACAACTCAAGATGAAATATGCGCATGTGCTGTTCGTCTCTATTCAGCCGAATCATTTCTCTATAAACTGGTTAATAACACATTAAGAAACGATGATATGAGCAAAGTTGACACATTAGGACCATTCTGTTGCTTGCTAAGGAATCATTTGGTTTCCTATACTGATGCTGAAGCGCTCACTGTTTATCGCGGTGTGTTTCTCACCGACGAGATGATCAAAGAGTATAAAGAAGCTATTGATCAACATATCAAATTATTGTCCTTTACGTCAACATCGAGAGATCGTTGTATAGCCGAAAAATTTGGTAATACATTATTTATTATAAAGCTGAAAGCAGGTCGTGGACGCTATGAAAAAGACATTTCTTCTCTTTCACAGTATCCCCATGAACAAGAAGTGTTATTAACAGCTGGGGAGCGTACAATTCTAGTTGAGAAAGTTGAATTCGATTCAACTAGTGAAAAACATTTAATTTATATGTTAGCCTAGTGATGCTTCACTTGGTGATCTAATTTCTAGAAAACGCCATTTTGAACTCTCAGTATCTTTTAATTTTGCATAAATTCTAAACTACAATAACTGAGAAGAACCACCTTGTAGCCAGGATAATTGTTCGAATGCCATTTTGCAAAATTTGACTTTTAGCTGAAAACCATTTTTCTCGGACATATACTGTTGAATCTAGCCCGATTTGGTCTCTAATGTTCAGGTAGTGATAAGGAAACTCCAAATTTTCTTTGATAACATAGAAAATAATATTTTTATGATGACATTAGGTTGAAAACGAAGGAATGGCTGGAATTTGTTTTACATCTTTCCAGACGGTTCAGGTTCTGCGCATGGGCTCTGCCATGTACAGCTGACTCACAATTCATGCGCCTTTTCTATCTACGTCAAAGGTTAGATTTTACAAAAACACCTGTCTTTCAAGTGATTTTCGCTTCTTACGGGTTTTTCATTCAGCCAATGACAATCCAACGTTTGTATTTTGTGCTGGTTTTGAGTCAAGAAATCCTGCCGAAAGTGACAATAACGATGGGAAAAAAGTATGCATTGTACCCAAATGTGCATTTATCATACTTTAATTGCAATTATCATGAATAGTTTTCGTGAATAGCTACTACCTTAATTGCATCTTTTAACCGTTTTTGTTTTGTTTTGTATAGCGTTTTCGGTGTTATGATACATTGATAAACCATTTAAAACATTACAACAAACGTTAGAGCTCATTCCTTCTGGCGCTAAGAAAGTCGACTTTTAATTTCTACTTCATATGGTAGTTCAGATGTTCGCTCTTTTTTCCCAAAATACAATGATAACAAAATTTTATTTGTAACATGGTCAGGTAGAGGTAGAGGTATCTCGAGGACGGTACCTGTTGTAGCATAACAACTCTTGTGTTTAGTCTTCATAATATCAATTCCATCTGAAGAATGGTGGATGTGATCCAAGCGCAAATTGTTCTCATGACCCTTTAACATATGCCGTAGTATGTACATGCAGTAGTGGTTATGTGGGTAATGGATTCAGTTGTCAAAGTAAGAATCTGTCTCAAAACGAAATTCATTATCCAAATATGGAACACGTGCAGAACTGTTGTTCTTGTAGATACTATGCCACTAAAATAAACTTTTTATTTGTCTCATCTATACAAGAAATATTGTGAGAGATGGGAAAATGATGAGTAGATGAATGCTACCAAAATCATTTCTGATTTTATTCACCATAGGCTGATGACCAAACAGCGCCTGTTGATCCAATCTAGTGTTAATGCTTAACTCATACGATGTTGTGAGATTGTTAAAATTTTGTGAAAGAGATGAAAGGGGTTGGAAGACAAAAGTGCGAAAGAAAATTTCTAAACTTAAAGTGAAATCCATACATTTCATTAACTTTAATCTTTGATATTGACAGCTCTAAATCTTAAAAACTAAAAGGGACCTTTTTCTGGAAAACACACGAATATATAGTGCAACTTGTGTACTCCAGATTAGTAGAAAAAGTAGAAAAGTGCTTCTCTAAATATTTTAGTTTTAATTTGTGAAGTGGGTAGAATCTAGAATAGCGAAAATAAGAGATTGAAACTATTCCAATCAAGGTGAATTATTCACCTCAGACTCGCTTCGAGATAGAGCTTAAAATAAATACATAGCACTTTTATTTGTAAACACACTCTCAACTTGCCACTCGAAATTCTCAGGATATGATTAATGTTGTCCGCTAAATGTGCTTATAAGATCGAAAAAATGTAAAAGTATATTTTGTTAATAGGTTTTTCTATGAATAGGATATAGAATAACTTAAATACTCTACATTCTGAAGTTTTGAGCTTGTTCTGATGTTTTTTAAGCGAATAGTGAATATTTTAATATTAGGTGAAAACAGCCTGAAAACCCTAATTTTCTTAAAACTGGCTTTTCGTACATTTTTAAAATTTTTTCTAAAAATAAATATTTCCACGAAACTCAGCATGTTCAATTAGCCATAGTCCATCAGTCTTTAAACCTACCAATAGTCACCGGGTGCCAGTCCTTGGACTCGTAGAAAATCCGATACAACGCCCGAACCGTAGAAAATCAAGGTCTCACTTTACTTCCATTTTGAAGAGGACACCCTGACCTATCAGTTCATGAGAAAAAAGCAATACAATCTCATTGGAAAATCTTTAAAGACGACCTAGTTTTCCAAAGATCTCCTAGGAAACCTATTTCAGAAAACTCTTCTGGAAATTATGTTGGTTATGGAAACATGCATCCAGGTATCCTCTTTCGAATGACGAAAACCGCAGGTCTCCATCTTGTTCCTATCAAAAGTTATTCCGAAAACAATCGAGTGCCTTGGCTTCTGGAACGGATAATAGTATAATACATGTGTACTTTCTACTAACATTCTCTAACACAGCTGTGTCACAAAAACTAACACATGTGTCAGATGCAGTTTTTCAAGCTGAATCAAATGGACTTTTCAGAATTAAATTTTAATCTATTACTACTATGAAAAACTATAAAATACCATCTCGTTATTATCAACAAATGTAAAATATTAACGGTAATACTTAAAAACGTTCTGCATCGAATGTGTGTCAGCAGAACTAAATCATATGTTAGATGTAGTTTAATGAGAGGAATCGAATGGCTCTTTTAGATTTTATTTCTGGTCAATATTTACTATGAAAATCTCACAAAAGTAATAACAAATTTAACCTAATAGAAAACTTTAAGGAAATGAAAAAGATCTGTAACTTATATGTTACGAGAAAAGAAATACAATAGTTAAAGGAGATTAGTTCCAAGTTAACAAAAACGTAGATGTGAGTATCGACAATCATCGATAGACATGAGAGCAAAAATGGAAGAATGTTAATAATGAATGTGCTTTTTAACACACAAAAAACATGAGAAAAAATTGGTGATGTGAAGTGTGTGGAAGAGCTGTTTATTTTGTCCTATTTGCTTTTTGATATAACTCCATTAGATCATCATTACTAGAAGTTGTTGACATTTGAAATTAGAATTGATTAATCCTAAAGCTTTTATATTTTGCCAGCTATTATAATTTTTTCCATTAATTACACTACTTAAATTTTTATTTGTAGAAACCGCTAATATACCTGGCCAAATACTTACAGTATATGGAGATCTATAAGCGGTAGGTTTTGAATAACACTTATGTATACCTGTTTCCGCTACAATCTGTTCAAGACATTCGTTTCCTATTCGCTCATGTGTTAGTGAAGGATCTCTACAAACGATATATTTCCCCGATTACAATGAGCCCGTACAGGTTTACTAATCCATTCCATATATGAACTATCTTTAGCAAGAGAAAAATACTATGGTAAACTATTGATTACAACGGCTTTTTTCCTGGTGAACGATGGACTACATTTGCGCACGTTTATCTGATAATTTCAGTTTAGCAACAGACGCTTATAAAAACAAGATTGCCCATGCGTTTTGGAACAAATTTATCAGCTTTACTTGGAGAAAATGTATCGTTTGTAGGTGGAAGTCGAACTGTCTGGGCAAAAAGCATTCTCGTAATAAACGTAGCTTTTGATTCTTCGGTATTACGTACAGAATTTTTAAGTTGGTCATATACTAATTCAATCAATGCATTCTGCTCATGCATACCTAAGAAATCAAAATTGAGATCATTAAGAGAAATACAGTACATAGACTGTGTTAAACGTTCGAATTTACGTTGAATTTCTTTATCAACATTATAATATATCTGTTCGTCGGTAACATCTTGAATATTCTTCATTTTGACAACTAAATCTAGAGTCGTCTTTTCTAGATTTTCACTTGGATCGAAACGATTAGCTAGATCAATTGTGGTAGCAGTTACATTATACAATGACGACTGCATTGTATTAAAATGAGAGTCCATTTTTGTCAATGTATGTACAACTGGTAATATACGAGATTCAGATACGCATTATCAACGCTAAAAATACCTGATATCAAAGCGGCTAAACAGCCCATTCCTCCAACTACAAGAGAAACTAACGAAGCTATTCGTTTTGAACGACGATGCGTTAGAGTACAATTAGTAAATTTTTCATATGTTACATTATGTGATGTATCCGAAATGTTTATGAGAATTTTCCGGTGAATCTTTTGGTGTTTTCAAAATTCGTATGGAATTTGTTTCTGGATCAAGGCAAATATTTTTCTATTTTCAGTGCGTCGCAGTCGAGAACTCCGTATCCTGCAATATTTTGAATGGTGCTCATACGAAAAAAACGCTATCAGAGATTCAAATAGCAAGTTTTTAGAGAATTCAATTCTCTATAGAGTGAATGTAGAAAGAGCTCTTTGAACTACTGTAAAGTGTGCGAAAAATAACGAATAAAAGTGACCGGTTTTATCTAGCCCACGCGCGTTAATTTTCGCGAAATAGTCCTTCGATGCCAACAGCAGGATGAAATTTTGATTTTAGTATTTTTGTTCTTTCTTATTATTTCTGTACAATTAAAGGCATTTATTATGTATGGTGACTGTGAACATATAATAGCCTGTAAACAAATAACAGCTACAACTAACACTATTTGAAAACAACACAGTTATCAACATATATGTTACGGGCAAAACTGGAATTCGGTCAAATCTGAGATTTGCCTGGTCAAAACTGGAATTTTAGTTTCGACTAGAGAAATATTGGTCAAAACTGGAATCTTGGCAAATCTGAGATATTACAAGAGTGAAATGCAATTGTTATTTAAAATTGATAATCATGCTTTTTATATAACATCATATTGATATATCATGCAATCAACTGTTATTTAAATTTTTATAATCATGCTCTTTGTTTCTCTAATAAAGACTGAAGACATTCTTGTACTGCTAAAACATACTCAAATCCTTACTAAATACTGATCTACTTAACCGCGAAAAGGTGGCATGATATCTAAGTAGTTTTTT